TTTTCAGATTACACAAAGGTCAACCTTATTGCTCTGCGTCTCCTCCGAGTCAGACAAAAGGCTTCTCAGTTTTCTGTCATCAGTTACATAACAGACAGAAGGGGAGAGTTCCTCTTTCTTTCTGTCTGTCTGCTGTGCAGCTTCTGGTCCTCCTCCCCTCGTCTGCCTCGGCTGTCATCAGAGCTATTGTTGCTGGAAAAGTGTCTCGGGCATTACCTGTGGAGCCAGATATTCAGGTGGGCCCCAGACTGACTGGCTCATCACTCCGCTCATTTTACCCCCCTCCCCCCTAAAACCCCACCTGTCCATTGAGGAGACATTTTATCAAGCATCAGTAAGCCTACTGAGAGTTTAAGGCAGCTTCAGAAGTGCCTGAATGCAACTGTTGAGCAGATGCCTCACTAATTCTTCCTGCGGCCGTCTCACAAGTCTGACAGCGTCCCGTTCACCAGACCGTCATCCCAATACTTCATGTTCGCCTCCACTCTTCCATGGAGGTCCTTCCCCAGCCCTGTAATTGGTGCGGTTAACTCCATCATGAGATGTCTAATGTGCGTTTAATGGGTGTTGGTGAGGCATCAATTAAGTTAATTGTAGATCATTGAGTTAATTTTAGTTATTTAGAAAACCCCAGCTTTCCTAAATGTTGTGATTGTGGGGGGATATGACGGGGGACTGTCTGTGAGTAAAGACGGAGGGGTGGTTAGCCTCAAATACAGCCCTGAGCCCCGGGAGGACCTTTATGAGATTTACTGATAGTAATGAGGGTGGTGATGAGGTTTTGGTGCTGATGATTGTTTTAGTGTGGAGGATTGACTTTTGTGTTTTCCTACAGTATGTTCATTATGACTTTTCAAACAGTGTGACAGTATGAGGTTGAGGTTTTAGAGTGGAGTCTGATGTCTACCGCTCATTGTTTTCTTTTTGTTTCTTTGCCTGTGGAGAAATCTTGCTGAAGACACAGCTTTAAGTCAAGTAGAAACATGACAGCTGCATTCCTCACAGTCTTATCAGTAATAAGCTGTTATTGGTTTTGAGACGGAGCCAGGAGATCAGATGCTGCAATTAAAGTTACTCAGTGTTGTCATCGCTGCCGATTACATATTAATCTCCTTATTAGTTAACATGATGCTATGTGTAAATAAGTGTAGCAGTACACATGTGCATTTACACATACATAGATACAACAACTGTGTGGCAAAAAAAACAAAACAAGATGGAGCCAAGATCATTTATTGTAAAATGGGAATTTAGTCAAACATTCATTCTGGCGGTTTCCCCCATAAATTGCTCCAAGCTGCCACATTTGGAGCATGTTTCTGGGCATAAATCATGACCTAATGTTGTATTTAAATATTTGGCAATTTATTCTTGGCGCACTCCTAACATTTTGTGCAATAACACTGTGTGACTGTGTGTGTTTCACAGTTTTATTGGCAGTGATCATTACCTGCTGACAACTCCCTGGTCGTTATTGTTTTATTTTTTCCAAAATGCTTGTGATTCACATGATTCATCTGCATTTGCACACCACACACAGACACCTAACATATTGTAATAGCAGAAGAATGCAGTGTGACAAGCAGATGGAAACATTTTTGCAAACCAAGCCTCTGATGACTTTGAGATGTGTCAGGGCTCAAATATGAAGATTAAATTATCTTTACATCACCTAAATACAGTGGAACCTCCATTATCTCTAGAGCTTGTTTCGCCTTCAGGCTTGATAATTAAACCAGTCTACATATACTTCTTCACCACCAAAGTAGGTAAAACTAATTGTAGTGACACATGGGAAATATCATCCCAGAGTTATTCAATCACTTCTGTTGTATGAGCATATCAAAGCAATAAAAACTCATGAGGATATTACATTTTTATCTGTTGACTGTATTTTCTTTTTAATTTAATCCAGACGTTTCGAAAAGTTTCAGACCATGCATCACTTTGACCAAACCAAGTATTCCAGGTTCAATTGCAGATACCAAAAATGTCACAATGAATGAACCAGATTGCCGTGGTATTTCTCTATTACTGTAAATCCCAGGTTGGAATAATTGTTTAATTTAAAAAAAAGTGTTTTAAATGAAGGAATCAGACTTTAGCAAGGCTTTTGCATACCACTTCTCTTTGACCTCAGCATATTTCAATCTATTCCTTTAAATTAGACTGTCTTCATGAAGGCAATTGCTGCCAGATTCTTACTGGTGACAAACATACTGTACACTACCTATTAAAGTGACATTGAAGAGCATAATGTGAGCCTTTGTGGAAATGCTGTTGGTCTCGCAGAAACCACACAAAACATCCTGTAGCTTCTAGCCTTAAAAGTGAGGTTTGATGGATAAATTGTTCTGAAGCTTCTTTTTTTTCCCCCGCACACATAAGTGAAGCAGCTTTTATGTGAAGCCCGGGGGCCCGGTAGCTACCAGCACATTAACCACAGGACTCTGCTCCCTGAACTTCTGATGGCCCCACAGGCTTACAGGAAAACACGCTCTCTGTGGTTTAACCAGCCTCTGGTTGGCAGAGATCCACGGCTCTCTATCGGACTGAGTTGTGTCTCGGTCACTCCACTAAGGTGATGAAGTGTCGGACAGTTTAAGAGCTATTAGTAGAGAATGTAGGTGAGGCTGCTTTTCAGAGTAACAGTCATAAGTATGTGTGATACAGGAGAAGTATAAATGCCAGTTTTTTTACATTTCAACATTGTAGTTTTTATTTTAACACTTTAAACAAGGGGATCAATTACAGTGTTGTGTTCTACTCTGTTGGGGTTCATTTAGCAAAAAGGATGCGTCAGTGACATTATCCAGCATACAACACTGAAGAAATCTATAAAACTGGTTCCATAGCAATGATCTGTTTTTCATATCAGTGGTTTCTAAAGAAATATCAGACTGCTGATTATCCAAAAAGAATCAAGTATTCAACAAGGCCCTGTAAAAAATGTGATAAATACGTGTAAATAACGGATTCATGAAACTCTTTGCAACAAAGCAAATTTCCCTAAATGTCTAAGTGTGGAGTAAACGCAGAATCAAGGCCAGGCGCTCCTTTGTCCATATTTCACAGACTAACGTTAAAGATGTCTGGCATTTACTTGCTGAGGGAAAGCCTTTTTTGGGCCACTCAGTGACCTGGGAGTGGGGCTAGGGGTAAGATTGGACCTGTACATATGGTTCTGATAGAGAGGGTAGATAACCAGCAGACGCACTGGAGCCATCCCTTGAACAGAGCAGGAAGTGGGTGGCGTGACTGTCTGCTCCTGTTGTACTGTACACTGCGGCGAAGTTAGATTGAGCCTGGATATTCAACAGACATTCAATTTGGTCTCTTTGCTCCGTTTCACAGACTGTCAGCAGTCAGAGGACTTCACCGCCATCCACTAAATTGATGATATTGTTGTCATTAACATTATAAACCCATAATGACTCTTCTACTGTATTATGAACAGTGAAAAAGGGACAGTAAAGAGTCTTCACAGTCCAATAGTCTCTTAAGAATGAAAGTCTCCCATGCACAGCATCAAAACAGCTTGATAGGGATCTGGAATTAAATCACATGTAGATTAGAATAAATTAGTTTATGGCAGTCTAAAAGATTTCTCTGATGGCCACATATCACATTTCATAAAGTGAGTTGTAATTATTATTCTGTACATCAATCCAAGAGCGTTTTCTATTCTGTAACGGTGAGTTTTACAGTGTGATAGGATCTTGGCAGAGGTTGATTAAAGCTGACATATTCAATAGTTGCTTCAGTTATGTTGTGGCGAGCATTTAGATCACAGATCCATCATCTGTCTTCAATCTGTCCTCCTACAGTGTGTATGTGAAGTGTAATTAGTTGTTTTAAATGATTGAAGCTGTATGCAGGAGGGAGTCTGTCTGAGAAAGTTCCTGTGAAGGCACGCCAAGCAGGGGGAGTGTGCATTGCTGCTTCATGGTCATAGATTTCATATAAAAAGTCTGATTCAACTCAAAATGATATACTGGTTCACATAAATCCATTTAACTACCAGCAAAGGAGTCTGCATTGTTGTATACAGAAAATGACCCACATGGAGCCTCCAAAACAAGAACAATAGTCAGGTCACAGTAACACAAAACAGGAAGTAAAGATGATTTCTATACTGTTATTATCAATGAAGACATATAAACCTGAAAAAGTCATACAAGAAACTTTGTGAGGCATAGAGCGTAAAAGATGATATTAAATAATAACCGAATGGGTTACGCGCTTATACATAGTTGAACGAGTATATTTATGTATTTATATTTTATATATAACCTTTGTTAATGTTTTGTTCAAAATATAAAATATAATGAATCATAATATTGAAAAACAGTTGTTTCAATATGAAATATGTCTGGATAGGAGACGTTATAGTTACCGACAAATACTTTAAATACAGTGTAACTAATTAGGGGGACAAAGGGAAAATATTGCCCAAGTGCCTTAGCAAATTAATCTGGAGTTATGTTAAGAAGACTTAATGAAGTATTTTTCATAAACTGAATAAATCAAATATAGTGGGTTATAAACTATTTAATAAATGTTTGTACCGTCAATAAACATTAAATAGAGGGCCATATGGCGAACAGATGCATTTTGATGTCTTAATCAAAAAACAGATGATAAAGTATCTCGACCTCAGCCTTTCACCCATGGGATCACTGCCTGCTGACAGGAAGATTAATGTAGTTGTAAAACTGGTAAGTGTATTCATAACACAGTCAAATAACAAGAGTTGAACCAAACCAAGAGTGACATTAATATTATTTAGGCCAGATATAAATGCAGTACATTCACACTTATCAGACTTGATGACAGAATGAGGGAATGAATAAACAGCCATTGGTGCATAGACACTATTATGTTGACAACATGTTGGTTAAGGCAGTGAATTACTTCAAGCTGACGCACTTTCAGAGGATACAAAGGTCAGGAAAACATAACCAGTTTATTGCTGGAACTTTGCTCATTTATTTCCACATGAGGTGAATGGATAATATCTTAGTTAGATGTGAAGCGTTGAGCTGAAAGCAAACATGTTCAGGTAAGAAATCTCTTCCATGCCTTTCTGAATCTGATTGCAGAGTTAGTTTGTACTATTCTGTCGTGTCTGTCATATATTTAAAAGCTAAACATTAATCGAGACTCTCCTCACTTTCAGGTTTTCTTTAATAGTCTGTATTTCTCTGATATTTGGCGTCACAGCAAAGCCATATAAACCCTGGGTATGTATATATTGCTCCTGGCAGTCCACAATATTGCATTGCAGACTCTACAGCTTCAAATCATATGATAAATACATTTCCAATGAATTTAAAATGACAATCATGTTTGTGTTGGACAGCAGTCATGTAATATTTCTACTTTCTTCCCAGAATAAACTCCCAGATGAAGCATTCCAGGATACCGTTATGTAAGTTGTAATTTCCTTAAACTAAACCTAAAGTGAATAATTGTGTCTTGGACTGAGGAAGGGCAGACTGAGAAAGCATGTTTTATTTTTTTTAAATCAGGTCTTTAGATGGCGAAGGAAAGATGTCCTGGAGGGTGGAAGTGGAGCCTCCAGAGGACATGGATGAGACTGACTACGACATTGACCCAGAGATGAAGATTTGGAAAAGCATGACAGGCGGGCAGGAAGAACAGCCCCTAAAGGCAGAAGAAGACTTGGAAGAGCTGTACCATCCTTCAGTGGTAGATCTCCTCAAAGTTGAATTTCAAAACCGTGATGCCCTCCCTGCTGCCGACATCCAGGCTGATCCCTGGCAGGAGGTTGCGAACTTGAATCAGGAACCAGAAGAGGATAAAGACGACGTCGACCACCCTGGTTTCGGTGAGGCGGCACCAAACGAGCCTGAGCAGGACTGGGACGAGGTCTACCGCAGAGCGAGCGAGGAGCTGGCTGGATATCTCGCTCCACTCGTGGCCGGAAACAAACCTGATGCAGAGATCCGTGTTTCACACTCTGAACCAGAGAAGGACGAGGACGAGCTGTATCACCACGACGACCAGGGTTCACCTGTGCAAAAGGAGCTGCTGAGCCGTGAGGTCGCGGGTGAAAGTGAGGTCAGAGTTCACTTTCAGCCAGAGGAAGACATGGACGACCTGTACCACAAAGACTTCCTGAACCTCATTCCTCACCCGGCTGATACTGAAGCTGCTGCACCACCCGCTGACCCTAACCCATTCCAGAGGAGGCACAGCCAACCAGAGGAGGATCTGGATCATCTCTTCCACCAGTGATCCCTCAACCACAACCTAACCTGTGTAGAGCCCTCATCTCATCTCAGATAAAACCATAGCTTTAAATACATCAGAAGTGCTTTTTGACTTCATTAAACTGTCATTAAGAATCAACTCTAAATCTCACTGTCACTTGTCTGTATTTTGTTATTTATGTGTCTATAGATACAGAGAAACATTGAAAATGTAATGTACATCTGAATACAGATAATGATGATTTCCAAGACTCACCGTTGATAGTTCAAGTAATTATTAAAAAATAAAATGGTAAAGACTTATAATCAGTGTATATAAGGTACGGTTTCTAATAATGACTAGGTGGTGTTGTGATAGCATTCATGGACAAGTTTATAAAGGACTCTAATGTTATAGAAAACATTTACAATCCTAAAGCTGCTTTCAGATGACATGTTGGTAATTACAGAGGGTTGTGCCTTTAATTGAGAGTGCAGTTTGAGAAAAGGAAGTCTTGAAGTGTTCAATTCTTAAGTGTTCCTCTGTAAATGTCAGAATAGTGAAGCGCGGTTATAAAAGTGTTAAACATGGGCGAGGCTAGGTGGTTAGGACATATAAATAAGGTTGAAGGTTGGAGAAGACTATACATCTTTAGGGTATTGTGATGATTACATCTGAGTTGTCCTTGATCAAAAAGAAACATTAACACATGTATCAAAGACTTTATGTGTTTGGTTAATTGAAATGTTTGTATAACACAGAAGTTATTAAGAAAAATACAAAATATGTTCTGATCCTTCAGATGAGTATTGACTATACACACAGACAAATTATTTTTTAACCCTTCCCACTTCTGGTGGAAACTGAACAAATTTGAAAAAATATAAATGGAGGCGTGTGGCGCAGTGGATTGTGCGTAGGTGTTCGGATCAGGGGGTCACAGGTTCAAACCCCACTGCAGTCAGCATGTCGTTGTGTCCCTGAGCAAGATACTTCACCCCAAATTGCACCTGTGGGGATTGCCCACAGTATTGAGTATGTAAGTCGCTTTGGATAAAAGTGTCTAACAAGTGACATGTAATCTAATGTAATAAATTATTCCTGATTAGATCATCATTACTTAACGTGTGTGTGTGTCACTCTAAAAGGTCAGGAGAAATGACCCCCTTCTTCTGTATTAGGTTGCCGTACAGAGCCGTTTCCCTGTGTAGACAGAGCAAACGAAAATGTTTATTTGAATTTTTAAAGACATGTTTTAAATAGTTTCGAATAAGTAAATCAGGTAATGCATAATGGCAATTCAGTTTCATTTTCAGACTAGTAAAACATTGAGCAAGTACTCGTGTTTTACTGCCTACAGTATAAAGATTTGCTGATTAAAAAACAACAATATTTTAATGAACACAGAAAAAATACACGCTTCCTTGGCTCGTTCATAGAAAGCAAACCTTTCCACTTTCTCAATAGGACTCTATGTAAACAAACATCAAAGAAGGACTGTGTTATTCTCGTAACTAACTGATTAATTTAATCATAAGGTTGTAGGCTACTAGCTTTTTTACATAAGATCCAGCCTGATTCAGGAGATCTGAGTAGGTGTACCACACATGGACTTCGAAGCATCTCTCTTTTAACAGATCCATGACTGCAGCCTGTGGAGACATTTCAGCACAGATTCAACTAACTACATTTGACTAGTTAACAAGAGAATCCGATTGATATATGAACTCATTACTGCCATTGACACAACATTACTCAGTGGTTTTCACTTTAAATATATGGGTCCTGTACCGGAGAGGGGACATAGGTATCAAGGGACAAGAGCTTCAAAATAGCCTTCAAAAGCTGTGGGATTCCCAAACCTGCACAAAGACCATACAGGTTTAAATACATACACACTCACCCAGTGTTTTAATTTTCAGTCAGATAGAGATCTATTAACATACCATCAGCTCTTATTTCTTTTGGACCACAAGCACAAATGGAGGATGTTGGAAAGTTTGCATCAGCAAGAACTAAATGAAGAAACAAAACCCAAAGTCTGTGAACGACTAAATTACCTAGCACCTGTGGCATTTGTCTTCAGGTTAGTGATCCTTTGATTCTATTTAACTTGAACTTTGATTAGCCTCCTGCCCTGCTTGTGACTGATATTAGATATAGATTAGATTAGATTATAGCTAATACTGCTAGCACAGCTGGCTAGGCTACGAGAAAGGTGACATATAAGTATCATGTCATTAAATATCATACCCAGTTCATCCCCATGACCCATTTTAGCCAGAGCATACAGCAACTCAGGAGAAAAAAAAAGAGGGGATTCCTTTCAGTACAACAGCCACAGAGAAGAGAGAAGAGAAGCAAGAGCACTATCTCCGGCTTACTTCCGGGTTTGTTTACATCCGGTTTCGTTTCCCGTTGTTCGTCAATGTCAGACTGTTTTATGTTTCAATTTGTTTTAGGCTATTTATCCATCTCGATATATTACTTTCTTGTCTTTTTATACGCAAGGAAACGAACCTAATTTGGTTAATTAGAGGGGCTATCCAGTCAAACTATAAACGTTTATTTTGGACTTTAATATTAAAAATAGATGTTCACTATCCACAAGCATGCATCTGTTGTGGGTGATCGTTTCAGAATAATTACCCCACATACTTACAAATTCATTCTATGGACAGATTGGAAAAAGGTAGTTACAAGTCATAGTAATGTAGCTGGGGTCAAGTTATAATATGTTAAAAAATCATAGCGAAGTCATTGTAGCCTTTTGGAGAATCTCATCAAAATGCATAGTGAAGGCTAGATTTTCACAACAGGTTTTAGTTTAAAATGCCATTAAAAGTCATTTGAAAGTCTTAGTATGTTATTAAAAGGGTAACAAAAAGGTATGCCATAAAGATATCATTAAAATAGTCAAGGTGTAGTATTTAAGGTGGTCATAAAACGTTCATAACTCCTAAGATTAAAAGTATTATAGTAAACCATGAAAATGATATGGTAGAAGCCTATTTATTTAAAGCTATACAATAGGGTCATGTCATTATTCTGACAAACTGCACCGTCGGTTAATCTTTGGTCTATGTTGTTTCTGACACCCTTGGGTGGGCATAATTTAAAGCAGACACCGGTAAATGTGTTATTCAGACACGGTCTCTGGTGCCAAGAATGTGAGATAATGAAAATATTTATCAGATGAAAACCACTCCACCCAGCCTGTTTCATCTGAGCTAGAGAAACTCTCAGCTGGATGGCAGAAAAATGCTGAGGAATCCTTTCTCTGACCACAGATCCTGGTTCTTTGAGAAAAGGAAAGGAAAGGAGCAAGATATCTGCATATAAAAAGACATTCATAAAAGTCACAATGTTTAGAATCTAGCATTGCAGGCTTGTGGTTTTATACTGAATTTACAATACAGCTGCTGTTAATAGGACAAACATGTTGGTAGCATAGGCCTTGACTTCATGCCCTGTTTAAATCTGCAAATAATTCATGTTTCATACATTTCTGCATTTCAAAATAACTGTATTTAACAGAACACATGTGTTTTGTGCAACTTGTTCTGAAAGAAATCAAACATCATAAGAAACCTACAAAACACAAATCCTTGTCTTAGGAACAAGGCTTTGTTTAATAAGCTGTAAGGTAAATTCAGCTCTGAAAACAATTACGTGGCAGACATTCCACCACAGAGAAATGTAGTCAACTAGTTTATAGAATAAAATACAAAAACATTAAATTTTACTCAAACATACATACATAAACCGGAGAAACTGATACTGCTGCAGTGGTCTCTTAAATTTTTTTCAGAGCTGTATGATGTGTTTAATCTAAATCGGTTTTGGGGTGTTTCTTATTTTGAGTTATTTAAATAATAGGCCTAATCAAATCATATTTTTTATACAAGGGTTGGCTGCATACGAATATAAACAAGATTATACTTAAAACAAAGTGACTAAAAGAGTGTAGTTTAAGAATATCAGAGTGTTTTTTGGCTGCCTTCACTCAGGCCCCTCAGGAGCCAGGCCTGTCTGCCCGACTGAAAGCCCTTTCTCCTCCTCCGGACCCATGCTGCTCCCTCTTTATTTCGGCTTCTTTAAATGAGTTTATCACGCTATGAGGGTCTCCGCTGCCAAAATGTAACGTTTGGCCCCCTTTGTCTGTATGGAGAGCTTCAATTGAGTCTACATTTATTATTTTGACCTTTCGGTAGCCTCAAAGAGGAGCTTCTTTTCGGGCACTCTCTGCGGACTTTTGTGCTTCCCTGCCGAGTGAGGAGACGAGTTTTTTTCCCCTCCTTTTAAAAGTTTTGTTCCAGAGGGCTGACAAGAAAGCAAGCTCCAGGGGAATATTGAATGAAAATAAAAATCAATTAGGCCATGGCCTTGTGGAGATATGGGGCGCCGCCGTGTGAAGATCAGAGAGAGAAAAAGGTGCCTTGCGATGGTTGGAGCTGAGAGAGAAAGCGCACACTAACCACATTTGTTCTGGTCTTTTCTTTGAAGTCAAAAGTATCGTTTTAAGTGTTTCCAAATAGTTTCAACCAATAGTGATGCCCGAGATTTAAAATATAGCCCTGTAAATCGTGAACAATTAACCATGGGTAGCCTACTTTTTTCAGTAAAGGCTATATTTTCTGAGTAAATTATAATTCATCTAAATATAGGCTTGTAGTGCCGAGAGACGGGAGTCGGAGGTTTAATCACAGATCTTTATTAATGTTTTCTCAAAAGACTATTAGACGTTTTTACAACCAGCATTTTAATTATTTGATTGCGCCGTGGAAAACCTTGGCCTATTATAATTTTGAGTAAATAAATCACATGTCAGTTTTTCCTTCTGATGACGGTTTTTTTTTGTAAAATAGTGTTTCAGACATATTGCATTTAAAAAACAACTTTCTTTTAGTACCGCATCTGAATAATTATGATCTTTTGAAATAGTATTTTAATGACATGACCTTTTAACTGTCACTTTACTACTACGAGCCTTCAGCCCGGTGCGTGTCAGTCCTGCTGGATTTATATCGGTCCAGTTTTTGTGCACAAGAGCCCCCTCTGGTGGTGAGAGGACCACGCCGATTGAACGCTGGGTGAACTGAATCCACTAGTCATTACATTCAAGTTACTTCTAAGTTTCAGTTATCTGGCTGACACTTTTTACCTAATTATACATATCAATTCTCAAAAAGACTGTTAAATATAAACTGAGTTATAATGTAAATGATATGCAAACATTCTGCATTACTGAACATTATAAATATGTAGAAACATCCCAAGGTCTTAGACAGTTTGTTAATAAAGTCGATTTTCGAATCATAAAGCTATCGATCATAAATATATCGATTAGATTTATGATTACAAAATATAAAAGCAGGGTAGACATGTGGAGATTATTCGACTGAACAAAACGTGATCCGTCTCTTAAATGTGTGTCAACCACAGACCTTTTTTTTTCGAGCAATTTCCCAAAATCCAATGGAGAAATTGCACTGCTTTTTTGTCGAAGGAACCAATGCGCAGCTTACTTCCGGGTTTTAGAGTGGCACTCTATAAGCAGGCCCATCTTTCCATTTGTGTTAATTTCTTACTCACTGAAATTTATTTGTAAAATGTACAGAGAAGTGTGTTGCCTTCAAAATGCAGACAAACATTTGAAAGGGAAAATAAAAAGGCAGTCAAGTCATTACAACTGATTCCTCCTATTGCACTCCGGCAGAGTTATAAAGTATTATTCAAATTCAAACGCCAGTGCACGTCTTGCACCCAGACTGCTTTTGATTTTTAATACCAAACTTTGCAAATAGAGCTTCAGTGTAATAAGACACTCCGGTGGAAACTCTTAGTACCAAATCCTAATGTAAACATCTTGTATGCTTCAATACAATCAGGATTTGTGCACCATTCAGCTTGTTGCAGATAAGGAAATTATCCGCTGATATCAGGAACTTTGTGTTATTGGCCGAGCTCTTGGTCTGCTCTTTTCTAATTGTCCTGGAAATTGGCCTTTCTCTTCTCCACAAATGCTGTCATGCCTTCTTTACGATCCTCCTGCAGGGGAAAACAGACACACACATCATGACTGAACGGTCAAAAACAATGCCCTCTACTCGCTCTCAGATGGGCTCTTCTACTCACTGTAGCAAAGGTAGCGTGGAATAAGCGCTTCTCCAAACGATTACCCTCAGCCAGAGTCAGTTCATAAGCTGCAATCACAAGTAGAACACGTCAGACAATATATTAACGTATTCAATTTAATAGGTTTAAGGATATTTAATAAAATGACTAGAAGATTAACTTTACACACCTGCGTTCACAGCTTCTTTAGCCATAGCAGACACCAGCTTGGAGTTGGCAGCAATTTTCTCACCACATTTCACAGCTTCCGACACCAACTGGTCGGCAGGATACACTTTACTCACCAGTCCTGGAAACACAACAAGCTACTGAATTAAGTATGACAAATATATGAAAATAGTATCTAATGTGTAACCCGGGTGTAAATAGCATTGTTACTGTAGCTATGGAAACCCGGGTGCAAATAGCATCTTCCAAACATTTTTCCCTATCCTTCTGGTGTTCCCAAAGTTTCCTCCAATCAGGTGTGATTTTTACAGCCTACTGCTAAGCTACTACAGCAGCACAAGGGAATTAAGTTATCAAAGAAACATTTCCATAAATACCTATACATCCAAAACAGTATCTAATGTGTAACCCGGGTGTAAATAGCATTGTTAGCTACGGACACCCGGGTGCAAATAGCATCTGCCAAGTGTAATACCATCATTTTCTGTTACCTGATTGCCGGGCGACTTCTGCATTAATTTTGTCTCCTGTTAGGACCAGCTCCATCGCCAGGGATTTTCCCACCGCACGCGTCAGCCGCTGGGTGCCTCCCGCTCCTGCAGAAAGACGGACATCATGAACTCCAAAAGCAAGAATCTGGTCAACTTTGCATAAGGAAGTCTAGTCTGAACAGGAAGGAAAGTGGATGCTTAAGAGTGTTTACCAGGAATGGTCCCCAACAGGATCTCTGGCTGGCCGAACTGCGCCTTCTCCCCGGCGTAAATGATGTCACACATCATCGCCAGCTCACAGCCTCCACCCAGCTGAAACAGAAACGTACATTATGAAACACAGAAACAATTACACAGACGGTAGACTCACTCTTCATTGTGTCATAGCGCATTTAAATGCTGTGCATCCTGGAATGATACTGGATTTGTTGTGTAAAGAAGTTGCACTATAGAGCCGAAAGCGTGTGGACACTACTGCTTTTTTTCTCTCAAGTTGTTAAGCTGTTTTGTTGTTTGGGTTTGCTTTTCGTTAGGGTAATGAAAGTGTCCCAAAGTAAGTGGAATTTTTTTTATTATATCTAGACATGCTGATAACTTCTGCTCTAAAAAGGGGGTAGAACTAAAAGAAAACTCAGCTGAAATTAACAATCCAATGAAGGAAGGAAAAAATAAATAGTGGGAGATTAGAGAGGGAGAAAAATAGATTTGAGAGAGGAAATATAGGTGAAAGGTGGGACTAGAAGAACAACAGGTTAAATATTGAA